CGGGGCGGCTGGGGAGCCCGCCGCCAGAAAATGGGGGCGAGCGGCTGACATGGGCCCTGGCAGAACAATGCAGCCGCTGCGGAGGTTGGCCCTTGCCGAAGGAAACTCACTTCTCCCAGGTTGTCCGAGGGGAGGGACACTGAAGCAATGGAAAATCCCCAGCAGTAAAGGAGAACAAAAGAAGAGGTGTTGGAAGCTGCTGTTAAAAAGAGAGAGGCTCTCTAAACCTGCCAGCTGCCAGACTTGGACAGCTTCTTTCAGGGCCTGAAAGAGGAGAGGAAGATCCCTTGGCTGACAGAAAACCACACCGCTCTGCAGGATGCAAATCCTCAGGAAGCATGGATGAAAACTGCTCCCTTACCCAGGGTACTGGAGTTTTACAGGTCACCGCAGTCCCCTCTTGGGGCATGGGGTGCAGAGCGCTGCCACTGCCAAGGGTCCTGCTCAGACTGGGGGTGTCCCTGGGCTCAGCGGAGCCCCCCGCACCGGAGCTGGCCATGAAGCCCCTCTCTGCCCCATGGCCGGGACCTGGGCTCCATACAAGCCCGTCTTTCTTTGTTTTTGCATGGATCTAGAAGTCTCTAGATTTCCTCCCCTGATTAAAAGGTGTGGCTGCTGAAGAAATTAGTTTACAGAGCCTCCAAATTCCTTACTGCCGTTGTCATAGGTCTGCAACAGGAGTATCCGTGAGGCCAGGGAGCAGGGAGGGCTGTGCTACACCGCGGCGAGGGCTCGGCGTGCTCTGGGACTGCCCAAGCCCTCTTTCTAGCAGGAGTAACTCCACAAGGACTCTGCACCTGGAGAGGAAACTTGAGGAGCAGTCCATATATGCTGGATTAAAATATCTGGTAAAAATCCCTGAAACCCACACATATCCTTCCCTGAAAAAAAAAATAAAATAAAACCTGTGATTCTGCTGCTTACTTTTCTTAGTAGTACAGCCATAATGGGTGTTTTTACTGAAACAAAAGGAAAAGTTACATTGATTTATAAATTCATTAAAATGGCAAGAGAAAAAACAGTGGCTAACTAAGTACTCCCATTGACTACCATACCTTTTGGATAAGCCCCAGAAGAATGCTGGAATAAGTGGTGAAACATTTTATTTTCTAACTTTTTAGTGGCTACCGCAAACAATGGAAAATACATGCACATACTTAGAATAACTCTACCCTTTGCAAAATGAGATCACACCTAAAAATACTTCCTCTTGTTGCTGTATAACTCCAGTTTATGATAATAGCTATTACACACATATAGTGAAGAGGAAAAAAATAGCTTCCCAAGCGCTGGATAAAAATTTGATATTGTATAGTAGAGTTTCTGCTACAGAATAAAGTTTAAAATCTGTAATGATTCATGCTATTTATTCAAATAGCAGAAGGGACAGTTCAGTTATTGCACGGACAACATGAAATAACACAGTAAAAAGCCAGGGGAGTTGAGCTATCAAATTATTGCTCAGAGACAAGAAAAGCGATGTGATGATGATGATTCTTTGAATCCAAATTGTATCAAGTATTAAGAAACAACTGCAAAATGTATCTGAATTTTAGTTTTCCACTTTGAAACAATTAGCGCTATTATTTACATCCCCACACATAAGCCCACACAGCTTGAATTTCCTGGGATATACATGTGCTATTAATTTTTAACTTTGCTATAGGATCCAAGCCTGAATCACCAGGCCCTGTCACTTTCCAGCACAAGGGTGCGTTTTGTCTGCTTGCACCAGAGACTGTTTCAGTGCCCTTGCTTCTCAAAGTGCAAAGTTATTCTTCAGGAGTTTACGTTTTACTTTTTAAAACCATCTCCTACACTTAAGTTTCGTTAGCAACTTCTGAAGTATAAGGCTTTCGCAGCTCTGTCGCCATGCTACAGATTTCATCACTGCTTGACCAGAGAAAAGAATTTTGGTTAAGCCAAAATCTTCATTTAGAGGGATTCTCTACAAGGTAGCATCATTTCTCTGCTGACTGGCACAGACCTAACAGCAAACACTATTTCTGTAACCTGAAGACGAGTAAAGTAACATTCATAGAACAGCTCAGCACTGATCTTAAGACAAGAGCAGCATTTTCTTAGGCAGTTTCTTCAATTCCACCACACACGGACAGCATCGGTTCGGATTTTGATCCCAAACTGCTAGCGAGATTCATTTCAAAGCGTGCAATGCCCTCAAAATATAGAAAAACAGACAAGAGTAAATGCATTTATTGCTGCAGGAACAGAAATAAATGCCATTTCTTTATAGAGTATGGAGCTGACCCTGCTCCCTCTTCTACCGCTGGGAGTTTTACCGCTGACTCCAGTGAAAGCACAGCCAGTCAAGTGATTTTCTAACACTTGAAGGCAATTATCTTTATTTTGGAGAACAGGAATAGCCTCCCGCTCTGGTCCAGTTCTCAGCCTGAGGCTGTAGCCCTGCCAGCACTGTTAATGTCATTGTTTGCGAAGCGTATTCCCAGTCTCGCATACACCCACGCAGGGCTCCCAGCTCCCGGCCGTGATGTCCCCCCTGCCGCATTGTTCCTGCTCCCCCTGCTTCCTCGTCTCCCGCCTCGTCCCCCCCACCATTGTCGTCCCCCTGCACCCACCCTGCATTGTTCTCACACCCGCCTGCCATCCCCACCCGGGAGGGACCTTTCCTCCCTCCCGCTCCCCGCAGCAGCTCAGGCTCCTTTCTCACCTACTTCCATATATTCCGCCGACCTGCTGGCATCCAAACATTTTCCCTTGCTGAAAGCGCATTACATAAACTATCACTATAGATTCCACAGCCCTCGTGAGCTGTGGGCTCTCTGCCTTGAGAAGCCCATTCCAAAGTCTCTTAAACAACAAGAAGGTTCTCATTTTGTTGCTCTGGACTTTAGATCAGGCTTAAAATAAGGACTGATAAAAAGTGTTATTGCATTTTCAAATAAGATATAAAAGGCTAGAGCAAAAAAAAACCTTGTCACTACAGAACAGAAATAGTAACAAGACAGAGACATAGACACAGGGATCAATACTATTACACACTGGCAATACAGATGTACAGAAACGACCAGCAGATTTAAATGGGCTCCACTGTCTAGGAAATCTTTTCTAAACTGTGCTTTTTTGCCTTCATGTATTAAAGCAAGCAGGGTTTAAAAATGTACTTCTAAAAAAAAAAAAACAAAAACAAGGCAAGGCTTGCATTTATGCAGTCAAATACTAATTGCAAAGAGGATTTCTAAAATACCTTCTTCATACATGTGTGTCTATGTCCATATATACATAAAGTACAGAAAAATTTTTATTCATGTACCAACTAAAGGATTTTTAAAATCACACAGAAACAGATTAAGTTAGCCAGCTGTCCTGTCATTATTTTGGCCACCTTGCTTTTTACTGCTCTTCCTTTTGTACATCCACAAGGTTCTTTTGAAATAGTTGTCCGTACCATGATGCATTTCTCATACAGGCATACAGGGACACGAACCACTTTTTTCCTATGATACTTCACTTTCACTACGGTACTGCTTTCAAAATGACAGATTTAGATTAGATGTAAGGAAGAAATTCTTCACCATGAGAATGGTGAAGCACTGGAACATGTTGCCCAAGGAGGTTGTAGATGCCCCATCCCTGGAAGTGTTGAAGGCCAGGTTGGATGGGGCTTTAAGTAACCTGGTCCAGGGGGAAGGGTGTCCCTGCCCACAGCAGGGGGGCTGGAACTAGATGATCTTCAAGGTCCCTTCCAACCTTAACCATTCTGTGATTCTAAGCAAAAGTCAGTCTTTGCTAATCCTTGGGAAGAAGAGCACTTATACATGCATAGCACTTACACATGAGTAGATTTAAGTATAGAAACAAAACCAAATACCTCATATAATAAATAACATATTTAGTATTTTAATACGTGAAAAACTCCTTAATTCTTACCATGGCTCATGCGATGAAAGCAATAGTATGCAAAGTCCACTCCCAGGAGCGTCAGATACCATGTCCATGGTGAGTCCCAGGGCAGTTCAAATAGTCTGTAGTTATTCCATATGTAGATGTAACTAATTAAGTCAATACTTCTGAATAAAACACTGAAATAGAAATCCAAAAAGTGTCATCAATGATTTTGCTAACTTTAATTACAGAACCTTTTTACTATATATTTACTATTCATCAGATGGGAGTCTTTCTGTAAGATATAAAACCAGTCTCCAAGTTCTGCAACCAACCTCTGTCAAGCAGCACTACCAAGTTCAGTGGAACCTCTGCTTATGGTCTACAAGGTTTTTAAAACCAACCCGCACCCACTCACCCCCTGTGTTGTGGCATCAGTCATGCTCAATGGCTGAAGCACCTGTGCTCTGCAGGTGCTATGGTTCCTGTTTTCCCAAATCTGGAAGAAACCTACCTTTGCTAATTCACGAGTCAGAAGTGACAGATGAATAGCAGCAATTATGCTCAAACGCTGATGTATGACATCAGAATACCTCGACTATTTCCATTGTAGGGAAGGGCACAGAAGGTGACAGGATTTTTGGGAGCAGTGAGGTCTTTGATCTGCTCAGCGTATCCCTTATCAGCACTTTTTACTGCTGCTGAGTTCCTGGACTACAGGGACTGAGCCATCGTCCTTGACCTAGAGCAGGTCAGTGATGAGACCAGGAGGAGAAAGAGAGTGGCTCTGGGGCAAGCAGGCCAGATCCAGCAGTAACTCTCCACAGCTGTTTAGGTCAATACCAGTTGTGGTTGTCACAGTCCCACCTCCCACCTCATGGCTGAGCTGCCTCCAAAAAAATTGCTTTGGTTTTGCTGGGTGAGTTTTTTGACAGATTGGGAAGCATTAAGCCCAGCATAAGAGAGATGAGAGGTGACTGGGGGGGCCCAGGCTTAGGTAGCTGTGAATTGGTGCCTCAGCTGCAGACTGACATGTATTTAAACTCGGAATTTTGTAGGAGAGAGCAGTCCACAGCAGCTTCCTTACATCCCTTCTTGCTACCCTCCTTTGCTGTGTTGCTGAAAATATTTGGGGGGCTGTGGTAAACTGAACTGGGGCAGCCTCTGAAAAGCTTCAAGCAGAAAAAAAGAAGGAATAGATACTATTGCAGGAAAATCACACATATCCTTTCTTTATATATCACTGAATTAAATTCATCTCAGTTCAGGGCATAAAAGTCAGATATAAGATTATCGTTAGCACCACCAATTACATACAGAAAAAATATTCTAGTTCTCAGATGTTTTGCTGCTGGTATATTTCTAGGGGGACGTGGAGGAGGTGGACCTTTGCGCAAAGTGGAGAAAGATTTTAGAAATCTATAAAGCGTATTCATGGTTGAAAGATAACTGAGGGATTCAGACTGAAGGAACTTCAAATGAAGGTTGCAAACGACATACGTGCAAGACATTACTTGAATAGAGGTGGTAACAAACTGCACATTGGTGTCAGTTTTTCAAAACCTCAGCTGAAGGACTGTCACAGACCAACATCTCTCACTTTAGTATCACCTGAAACTTCACTCTGCATTGAAGATGCAGGGAATTTGTGGATGTCCCATCCCTGGCAGTGTTCAAGGTCAGGTTGGATGGGGCTTTGAGCAACCTGCTCAAGTGGGAGGTGTCCCTACCCATGGCAGGGAGGTTGGAGCTAGATGATCTCAAGGTCCCTTCCAACCCAAACCATTCTGATTCTATGATTGAAATCAACTAAAAGTGTCTCCATGCGTCTTTCCATGTCTGCTCATTCTTCTCTCAGTGCCACTTCCCAGTGGTACTTCTTCTCAAACCCTGCCTCACTTTTTTTCCTTTTTTTTCCAGCTAGATTACTTTTGCTAGAATTTACGGCATGGCCCCAAAAATACTTGATTGAAATCAACTAAAAGTGTCTCCATGCGTCTTTCCATGTCTGCTCATTCTTCTCTCAGTGCCACTTCTCAGTGGTACTTCTTCTCAAACGCTGCCCCATTTTTTTTTCATTTTTTTTTCCAGCTAGATTACTTTTGATATAATTTACAGCATGGCCCCCAAAATACTTGAACTTGCAAAACTAAAGAAGGACATATTATACTCCTCCTCCTCCAAAGCCTTGTTTCACACACCTGGAAGACATCCCTGAAAACAGTCCGGCCATGTCCTGCCCTTTTGGGTAGCTGCACTGAAACAAGAGGGAACCACAGCAAATACGGCTGTTTCAGCTTGCGAATCGTTCCCCGCGCTATGACTGAACTTTGTGGTCGCTTCATATTTTTGCAGAGACATTCATTCAGAGATTTTATACTTCTAGCATTAGCACCTCTTTCCATAAGGGTATTTTGAATAAGGCTAGAGGGAACCATCTTGAGCTTCTGTGCTGTTAGTTTCTCTATTAACGAGGAACAAAATCAGCTGAAAATCCCAAGCTCCCAACACTAGCCTGCAAGCAGAACAGCATCACATCCACCATTTTATTCTGAAAATCTGAAGCATTACAAGTTGTTGCTGCTGGGGAAGAAGTGAACTAATATCTCTTCCACAGCCAGCTGCCACATCTTACCTGTAACTCATTTCTACCTTTACTACAATCACAGCAGTTTTTCTCTTAAACAAAATAAAAAATACAACAAAACCCATGAATTTTCATTTCAGCAGCTGGCAGACAAAGAATTTCTCTTGACTAGCAATGACAGGTGTATCTACCACTTCAAAAACAACTTAGCTATGCCCAGAAGTTGTACCATACACACCTGGAACATGTTTAATTTTCATAAGAGCTGTGTTCTATAAATATTTTTAGAGAAGACTATATGTGTCCAACCAGATTGTTGCAATTCACCTCACGAGGCATCTGTAAAGTTTGGTATAAATTCTCAATCCCTGTCGCAACAGGTCAGAAAGGAGCTGATATTATTCAAACACAAAGAAATTGGCATTTTTTTCACATCTTTTCAATGACCAGGAAATTTAAAACACCTCTTGCAACACAGAGTATCAGTTATTATTAGGTACTGTTTTCTTACTTTATTCTTTTGCTTTTATTAACATCTAATGCCTTAAGATATGTGAACTAGTACATTTCCTCCATTTTTGATCGGCTTGCACTGTTTCACCCTCGAGTCTTTTTTTTTTTTCCACACGCTGAGGCCAAGGTGTAAAACTTGAGCTAACCCTGCAACACATTTTTTATATATGTAATTTGCTGTGCATTCTTTCCTTCATGCTTGAACCACATCTCTAAAGCACATAACACTAGCTGATTACTGTAATTAATTTAGAGTAATCCATCATATTACTATACAATGCTGGAGTAAGAAGAGTTGCTTAGCTCTGTATTTTTTTAAAAAATTTACAGTGTGATAGATAGGAAAGTCCAGAGCTTGCATTCAGTTACCATTCTGAAAGTTCACTTGGAGTTTTAAAGGCTTATATTGCCCCTTTTTTTCTCCCTCAAGTTCCATTTTCACTTCTTGATAATACTGAAGAGAACTTAAGAAAACTCATTTAAATGTTAGGTTTTAACCATAAATATGACAGAAGCGGATAGGTAAGACTTTTTTCATCTAGTCCAGTCCTCTGCATAAGGAGTAATAAATCCTAGAACAGACAAACTATATAGAAAACCTTATTATATACATTGCATAGATTTATCTTCTTGGATTTTGAACACTTCGGCTGAAAATTTTCTTATTATGCGCAAAGTGTGCACTTAAGCAACAGTTTTGACTTTGAAAAAAGACTTCTGGCCTCCTTGTTTCTAAAGTCCATACATACTCTACTCAAAGGTGATAATATTTGTTTTAATAAACTATTCCCCCTCTTCTCCTTCCACTGGGTCAGATTATCACTTCCTCTAATTAAAGAAGCCCAGGAATGAAATTCTGGGAGATGAACTCTCCATGTGGGAATGAAGATCTACTGTTGGTAGATCCCTATGGGATAATGAACAAGGGAAAAGGTAGAGGAAAGTCAATTGGAAGAGAAGGCAGCTGCTCATTTCAAAGAATACAAGGTCCTGTTTAGCTTCTTCCAACTCACAAATTAGCTTTAGAGCCTGAAACCAAAGTTTTAGGAGACCTTTTCCACGGTGCTCCAGTCACTGAAAGTGAACAGGGTCAGAGACAGTAGCTGTTGTCTCTCTTCCGAGCATGGAAGAGGATCTGCGTATAGCGAGTGAAGACCCCAAGGAAATCGCCTCGGCTCTCACCACGACTGCAGTCACCACCTCACATCACACTGAGAATCGACCTGGGGCCCCTGAGCTAAAAACACAGCTCTACAGCTGGACCCACAAAAGCCCATCTCTCAAGGGCTCTGACAGACTTGCATCCTTGGAGGTCAGACACAGAGCGAAACATGGTACGACACCCTGGTCATAAGGTTATATTATCATTAAAAATAGTGAGATATTATTAATACAGCTTCCCTGGGTTAAATAAATTCCGTTTTCCTAGCCTGATTCAAACTACACCAACGTAAAGTTTCAAAATGTTGAACAAAGGCAGACACTCCTCAACAATTTCAAATTATGCAAACCATGTATGTAACAGCAGGATACATGAATAATTAAATGCTCTATAAGCCTTTGTTTCAGAGGGGAAAGCATAAGGATTTCCATTTCCAAGGATACTCATGGAGCTTTCTTTTCCAGATGAAAAACTGGCTCCAGTCTCAATTGAAATAAACATTTTGATAACATGATTTCAGTAAAGAGGAGAAGGGGGGAGGAGGTAGAGGAGCCTTGAGAAAAGGTCCATTTGCAAAACAAAGCAAACCTCCTGCAACTGAAATCCCCTTTTATTTCCTGTACAGGTGCCAGGTCTTGAACAGACACCCAATTTATTACCTTGTCAGCTGACTTATTAGGGTTGACACAAATCGAGCTGAAATATGTCTGACATACTGCAGTCAAGGCTTTTTTCACGCTTTAGCACAAAGCCAAACTTTCCACAAGGTGGAGAGAAAGAGAGAGGGAGCTGTGGGAGTTCTATTCCCTGTTTTCTATCATCAAGATGAATATGATCCTCTCCCATTCTTAATATGCAAAACCAGTCATGAAACAACCCAAGGCTAAAAAATAATTCACCAGAATGATACAGCTGGGAAATGATTATCAGGCTCT